CAATAGAAAATAGACAAGTAATTCCCCAATCCATGACCGATAAATCCCCAGGACAACAGTACACTGAAAATTTCCTCAATAAAATCATCAAATTTTAAGGTGGACATAAACAAAAATACCATTGTTAAGCGATATGCAATAAAAACCAAGCATATATAACCACATGAGTGATATTCCCTGAAACATTCATTTTTTCCTATTAAACTAAATCAAATAAAATATTTTTATGGTTTAAAATATTAACTTTCTCAGTTTTATCAAGGATAACCCACCAATTGCAGCCAAAAATAACCAAACAAGAAACATGGCAATGCCATGAAACCAGGTTTTCAATTGTCACCATTGTAGATAAATATGTTGAAGTTGAAATACAAATATAAGCAACAATGTAACTATGTGCAATGTAAATCATGAATAATGTAGGAGGAATCGCACACAGAAGAATTGTTCACTATATATTCTGTATAAGGCAAAAAAACAAAGGGCCATAATTAGGTCAAAAATTATCCAATCACAAAACCCCGACACTATGCGTCAAGGCCCTTGATAACAAAGTTTCTGTGAAAGTAAGAACAAAATCCATTGAGACATGTAGGAGTTGAGCATAGAAGAAATTGTTCATTATATATTCTGTATAAGGAAAAAAACAAAGGGCCATAATTAGGTCAAATATTATCCAATCATAAAACACTGACAATATGCGCCAGGGCACTTGATAACAAAGCTTCTGTGAAAGTTTGGTCAAAATACGTTGAGAAATGTAGGAGGAGTTGCGCACAGAAGAAATTGTTTACGATCGCCCGCCCGTCCGCCCGCCCGCCGACATACCTCAATCTAATAACAAGTTTTTTCCTTCGGAAAACCTGGTTAAAAAATTGCCGGAAACTGCAAGCAAAATTTCAACATGGAGGCTGCCATTTTTTTTCTGAACGGTACTATTTCTGGAAATCAGTTGCTAACAAAATATTGCCATTTTCTTGGTTATTTTTATGAAAGTAATATATTTTGTATTTCTTATTATGAAAATGACTTGTATGGAGCCAAAGTGTGTCACAGATACACTATTACACCTACACACCGCATTAAATTTCATACAATAATGGAAGTATAAAAACCATTCACCACCATAGCCTACATAATAAGATGTTACACCGCAAAGAATATTTTGCATGATGATAGTTGCATGAAGTTTTTCAGGGGAAAAAAGATATAGTATAGAATTAATAACCTCATAATTTTCCCCAAATCAACTTTTTTCGCATATCTTTCCCCTCCCTACCAGCGCCCAGCATCTTCCCCTTTCCGTAAAAAAAACCCCTGAATTGTAAAAGGAATAAAAGGAATAATTTTGTACTGTGCATCGAAACAAGTTTGTTGACATTGATTTCCCATGTGTGTAATGGGAATCAATTTGCGCAGAAAGCAATGCATTCCTTGCATTATTTATAGCATACAGGGGTACATTTGTCGTTCATTCAGAATTATTTTTCCTATAGAATGCCAATTTCCTGTGCCCACTTCATCTGCTCTTTGCACAACGTACGTTCAAACTGCATTGGCCGCCCAAGGAACAAACAGTGTAAAAAACAATTACATTTAATTTCCATAAAGATTCAATTTAAAGATCACTTTTCAACATTTATTGTCTCAACTTGAACATCTCTTCTTAACAAAGATAATTTCAAGGAACAAACAGTGCAAAAAGAATTCCATTAATTTTATTTTCCCATAAAAATCAATTTAAAGACCAATATTCAACATTTATTGTCGCGAAACATCTCATTCTCTTCTTAACAAAGATTATTTCAAACAACACGTACATGTTCACTGTCAACTTTTTCAATTTTTGTTGGTCATGCGATCATACCTTTTGAATACTTCTAGTAGTAATGTCACTCTTCTAATTTTCAAAACAATGTTAACAATCCATATTGAAATAGGTTTCTAATAGAAGGCCGAGTTGACCTGGACCGAGTTAGTATAAGCCCGAGTTGACCCTTTGCCGCAAAAAAAAAAAACACACACAAAGGCAAACGTCCATGTCAGCAGCGATTTCTCTCCCTTTAAGAACCCCAAGTTAGCCTCTTGGCTTTGACGGAAAAGTTATAGCAAAAATTTCTAATTTGATAAGAAAATTTAAGATCAGAATTTTTTAGGAAACTGCTCAATCTAAATGTTTATTACCTTTTGAAAGAGACCATTTATTGGAATTTGTCATAAAAGAAAGAAAATCACAGGCGAAAAGACCTTGAATATTTACAATGACCATGTCAACATTTAGGCACCTTACCATGAACGTCATACATGCCAGTACTTAGAGTAGAGAAAATTACTAAATCGACAAAAAAACACCGTTCCAACAAAAATTAGGCCCGAGAGAAAGTGCTACCACGTATTTATATGAATTATGGTGGTTTCGTCAAACTACCGGTTCGGCGGACTTAGTTTATGAAGAGGTGCGAAAGAGGTTTCGTCAATCTTTAAAGGCATAGTAGGCATGGTTCATGTATATAAAGTGGTTTTATCATCTATATGTTTGTTGTAATCAAATTATGACACAAAATTTCATTAATGAATAGAATACATTGTAGAATTATGTCTTTTTATTATACCTATTTTGATAATGATTTGTTCGTTATTTGATTAATTAGTTTTGAGAAAAAAAAATATTAAAAAAAAATACATTAAAGCCTCATTAGACGCCTGGTTGATGTGATGAATACTTCCCAACTACTGAGATTATGCAGCCACAATCCAATAACTTCAACGACAGGATTTATGAGGACGGTTTTTAAGTTTTATATTGAGTGATGAATAAAGAATGAAAATAGATTGTTGTTCTTTATTATGTAAAAAAACATAGTAGATTCTCTTTATTACTAAGCCTGTATCAATTGTTTATATAGAGATGAATAAAGTATTTTAAATATTACGTACAAAATCATGACACAAATATTCTTATTTTGGATTTTTAGTATAATATTTTTACATGTTTTTTGTGTATGCCTTGTTTTTGTGTATATATTATTAGATTATAAAATACATAGTTAATTCTTTCTCTTCCAGGTTTTATTTTTCTGTGTATAATGTTGATTTTATTCCCATTGATAACATTTGTCCTTCTGTTTAAGCTTTTACCATTTGTGGATACAGTTCAACATAGATTAAGAAAAATGTTTTTTATGTTTTACAGACTTCACTTTATCTATATTTGTGTAAATTTTAAATCATTTTTCTTTTTTCAGACTTCACTTTTATACGTGCATGTATCTATTTTTATGATGTTGTTTTGTTTACTGAGATCTTTTGTGTTGAGTTAAGCTTTATATGTAAAATATAACTATTATACTAAAGAAAATAATAAATATATGGTTTATATAATTTTTATAATTTCCAATATCTTGTCTTTAATTGCATGAAAAAATGTGTGAGAAACAACAGACTTAGTCCCACGATAATTGACATGCCCATTATACATCAGATATTTGTTGCACTATATAAATTAAGGTTGCCGAAACCACAACCTGTTTTATTATATATGACTCATTGTAATGAATACAGAATTTTTTGTTAATTTGTTAAGGAAATAATGCACCTGTCAATATTTTGCCCTACCGGGGGGGGGGGGGCGGCGGGCATACACGGGGCTTTAGACAGAAGACCATTCCTGACAGGCGGGAATTTGACAAACTTATGGAATCCGGGTCCGGGTAATAGACTTTGGCCGGTTTTTAAATCCCGGGACTCGGGAATTTCGACGCCACAAAATAAAAAGGGGAGTAACTGCGAAAGGTCAAAAGACGACGGCGATATTTTTATTCGTGTTTTTGAAGTTGCAGACATGAAACTTTTCGATTTTTTCTACGGTAGAGAAAATTGTGGGATAAGGCGAGAAGGTTGCCCCAGAATCGGGATTTATTTGCAAAGGTATACAGGGATTGTATTCTTCATTTGTTTTCTACCCAGACACTATGTGGAGCCTAGCGGTTTTCATGTTTGTCATCTGTTTTCGCGAATAGACCCATTTATTTTGCGAGTCTGAAAGGCGTTGGAAATCACATGAAACTGACACATATCTCGTATTAATAATACAAAATCCACAAAAGAACGTTCACTTTGCCTGTAGAATATAAACGATTACAGCAGAAAATGTCGTATCGATTGAGATAAATCCTTTAACTGCAGTATGAATGAACTGATCAAGTGACACAAAACGGATGTTGAATACATACACACAGAATTATGTTATTAATTATTCATTTTATAATTATTTTAACACCTATGCGACCAGTGTAGATCCAGATCAGCTTGCACATCCATGCAAGGGAGTTAAAATCCAAAGGCTGAAGTTACGGGACTCCAAGACAGTAGTTCTCGTGAGCCTTGTTAGAATCAGAGACAAAGAGATAAGCAGCTCTTATATACTTCATTGAAATATCACTCATGCCTATCAAAAAGTGAGAAATTAGGCATTTTGTAGCAAATAAAGCTTAATGGATGTTCATTTGATCCTTAAATATTATATACCCTTTCTTTGAAAGGTAAATATTTCATCTATGACTGCATGTTAAAATATTGGTAACTTTCCATGCCTTTCCCTTAGAAAAACATGGCAGAACATACCCACTGAGCCATTTTTTTGTCATATGATTTATTAGTTTTGTAACAAAAAATATCAAGAAGTTCTCTTTAAGAAATGATGTAACATTTATTTTACTGGGAACTGTTAATATTTTACCTGCAGGCTGCAGCAATAGACAAATGCATAAGTTTTCAGAAAATGTATTATTTTACTGATTTTGATATCTGGTTAATAAGTTTTACTTGCTACAAGTTTTAAGTTTAGCAGGCACGCGTGATATTTTAACTGGCTAGGAAGAAGCCTATCTCTGTTATGATTATCTATGTCTCTGTTAGAATATGATTTTTAATAAAGTAAGAAAATGCATTTAAATACAGTGTATGTCAAAACAGATCTAAATAAAATAATATCCTTTTTTCAGATGTATTACCATCATTGTTTTTTATCATTTACTGTTTCAACTGCTTGTCATAACGAGGCTTTGAATCTTGGCTATCGGTTTCATCTTCATTGGTCTTGTATTGCTTTACGATCGTGACTTGCTCTAATAAAAAGTAAATTGAATCTGCAGAAACTATGTTAAGGCTTTGTTCTTATCTGATAAATGCGAATGTATTAAAATGTTGATTTATATTTAAACTGGTGAACATTTGGTTGGACCATATGACGAGTGTTTCTGCCAACAGAAAAAGGGGCAAGGCAAAGGCGTCCGAGACACGGTCTTTGAAAAAGGTATTCAGGCACAATGGCATTATGAGTTGAATTTCATAAATGATTGCCTCAACATTAAATGAGTCTGAGGCCAAAAAAACTCTTTTTTCTGAAAGCCATACAAAACATATAAGGGGTATTGCACTTCTGTGGTCTAAATATGTGTATTTTATCATTGACATGGTGGGGAATCATTGATATGGTGACCTCTGACGTAACATGGTATCTTAAAGTCTCATTATGCATTTGTAAACTTTATTTGAAATAAAAGAGTATTCAGTTTCACACCAATGACATCAAGTAGAATTCTGATGTAAAAATTTGCATTTGATTTCTTAAAGACATGAAAGAAAATCTTCAAAATACGCTATAAATATATTGCGCTCATGTAGCGCAAATGTAATAATTGAAGGTATGTTTGGATGAAAAAATAATTTCTGAAGAATAGTAATGCGGAAATGAGCCATTTTCTTCAATAAGAGGATAAGTATGATATGTTTATTCAGTAATTGAAATTTTACTCACAAAAGCATTATGTTCCTTTAAACTTAAAATTCTCCTGAAAAAGCACAATATTGTTTATAATGTCGCTTGGGGCTACTGCAAGTCCTGTCAGTTACGCATACTCCAAAATATTTTCTGTTAAACAAAGATATTGACAAAAATTCTCACATGGACACCAGAATCTGAAAGATTATCAATTGCTGCAATACCATGTCATGTGGTCTCCATATCACGTGATTCCCCACCATAATTGCAAGATTAGTTTGATAGACTTAGTACCAGCAGAATTGTTAGAAAATTCAGTACCATTTTTGTTCCAATAGAATTAAAAACAACCTACTGTTTTATCTATCAAAAATATATGTTGGAAATCTTTGTTAAGTTGTGCTACTAAATTATTAATTTTTAAACAATCCAGGTTCAAGCTTCTATCCAGGCCCAAGCTCCTATCAAGGTTCAAGCTCCTATATATCCCGACTCAAGCTCCCATCCAGGCTCCTGCTCCTATCCAGGCTCTTGAGGAAAGTGCACCAGATTGTGAGTACACCATGCAACTTAGCTTAAGAAAATTATGTCAGTTCTTTTTGTAGCTTTGTGCTGAGCTATAATTGTCGTTTCTCCATGAAACTTGGTCAAAATGTTTGGCTGAAATCTCGGCAAAATTCAAGGTTGGGTCATGTGGGGTCAAAGACTATGTCACTAGGTCAAATCTTAGAAAAAGAATGCAAACACTTTAGAGGCCACATGTTTGGCCGATTTTTCATTACAGTTAGTGTAAATGTTCAACTCTATGAAATCTAGAACATGTTCAAAATTAAGTCATGAGGGGTCAAAAATTAAGTCACTAGGTCAAATCTTAGAACATTTTTTTGGTCTAATTTAAATGAAACTTAATAGATTTGAAACCTTAAAGGTTATAAAAATGCCCTCTATTTCAGAAAAACAATGTGCAAGTGTCCAGGTTTGGCCACAGGAGGAGGAAGAATGTCTTTTTTAATGACTTTTTGTGTTAAATGTTAAAATAAAATAAGAAGTTAAAGTGTTGTAAGTTTTTATCTCATCTGAGCTGTGAGCACGAAGCTATTGTAATCGGTGAATGTCTGTCTTCGCAAATCTGGTGTCCTCAACTTTTAGTGTTTTAACACTCTATGAGGCCACAGGTATGGTTCAATTATAATTAAGCTTGGTCAGCATGCTTACCATCCCTACAGAAACTGGGTCATGTGGAGTCAGAAACTAGGTTAGTAGGTTTATTTTGTAGCTAAACTATAAATGTAAAATATTAAAGATCTTATACGATCGATTGTGTGTCTGTCCGCATTGGTTTAAGTTTTTTAAGTCATACATTCTATTCTATGAAAGATATTTAATTGAAACTAGGTACGGTATTTAGTGGGACTACCACTACCATACTAAGAAGGTCTATAACCTTGATGCATTATTTTCAGAATTATGCCCCTTTATTACTTGAAAATACCCATTTTTATAAAAAAATATAAGTATCTTCAAAGTCTAATTATTTGAATACTATCAAAGTTATTAAACTACAATTGATACATATATACTCATTGGGAGTGACTATACCTACCTTACTTCTGAGGCCCATTAATCTGGATTCATTATTTTCCTAATGATAAGCCTTTGTACTTAAATTTTGTCATTGTTTTTCTGATAACAGTTTTATTTATTGATTGATCTATTAGATATTTACCCTCTCCCCTACCCCCGGGGCATTTGATGCACCAAGCAGGCTCAAGGGAGGGGATTTAGACAAAATTGGTTGTCTCTAGGGTGGGGATTTAGACTTCAAACATTTTAAGATGTCAAATTCCCCTGGGGCAGCCCGCCGCCCCCCCCCCCCGCGGGCATAATATTGATAGGTGCATAATCACAACATTTCTACATATTTGTTCATCATGTCCTTGAAAATGCGTGTTTCTCTCCATTTTGTTAAGATGAATTGTCTTAATATTATTTTCATGTGTATGCTATGCCTCTTTATGTAATGTACGTTTATATGCTATAGCTCATATTGGCATGTGTGTACATGAATTGAGTTCTGAAATAAACTTCTTATAATATAAAATTAGTTCGCCGAACCGGTAGTTCGACGAAACAACTCTCGCCCATTTATTTTATATTGTCAATTAAAGTCCGTGGTGCTACGTAAGTTTAATGCACAAACTATCTACTACTTTAAATCGCTTTATGAAAAATATACAACCTTCAGAGCAGACAACATAATGAAACATAAGCACAGATATATACAAACAATAACAAACCATCCATTCATTTTTCCCCGCCAAAACGGCCTTTGTTCTCCAAGCCAGCTTGTAAATTAGGTCACCTAGTCGCTAACACGAACTGCCAATGGAAAATCAAGCAGATCATTAAATAAATACTTATCTACAATATAAATAAAGCATAAAAAATCAATACTTACAGTTTAAACTTGCTAGTATATTTAAATTATCGAATTTGTACGCTCTGAAATAAAATCCTCTCTCTTCCTTAATGGCTGCCTGTTTGTTGATGTTTTTTCATTGGCTTACATTGTCACGTGATCAAATCAACAAAGGTGTGGACTAAGTTTATTTCCATTGCAGTTATGACTTTAATTGTTTTTATCACAACTTAATCCCGAAAAAAATATGTTGAAACAACAAGTAATATTGATGTTTATATAATACTATTTACAGTATTTTTACGAGGGATGCTATTTTTACTGTTACCCACAAACCCATGTGTTATTTATTTCATTACCCCGAACAAATACTGTGATGATCTGAATTTGTCAACAAAATCTAACTGTAACCAAAATAAACCAAGCAATAACTAAACAGCTATTTAACCTGTCCTAACCTTGCAAGTTTTAAGTGTACTGTAGGCCTACTTGAAAAGCTGTTTTTCTTTTATTCTTTAAGCAAGTGATGATATCTACCAGTCATAAGCATACAATAAGCTGTGTTTTATTTAGAAAACAAAACACTAACCCATTTATAAGGTTATGATCTGTGAAATCTGATCCTTCTGTATCCAGAATATTCTCCGCATGTTTTTTGACAAAGTGCATTTACAAAATAACGATGATATCCTACAGATGTCTGTCCGCCAACTCTATCTGTAACGTTTCACTGATTAAAATTGTTAAATAATCCTTTGTTGCATGCTTAAATCGTCTGCATGTTCCAGTTTGACACAAAATTATTCACATTACTTCCGTTGAAAACGGATGTTTATTTTTTGATTATTCAACAACAAAATATTTTATACGCGAAAAGAACTCTAGGGTGCAAAGAACTAAATTTTATGAGAGTCATGATAACTTTGGTGATGCACTACCGTCGAAAATAAGAATGAATCGAGAGAAAAATGGCGGCCATTTTAGTTCATTTTATTTAGAAAATATACCACGTGACCAGATTTTATACTGTTAAAAAATACTGTTACCTATGTAACAGTATAAAATTCTTAGTCAAGTGGTACACTTGCATTAACAGTAAGAATAACTCCCAGAGGCCTATGGGAAATTAACATTACGAAAAAAGTGAGGGGTTATAACGATTATTGATAGGTTGGTTATATGACCGTATGTATGCAGTATTCAAAATAATCCGCGGCTCGGGTTATATATGAAAAACGACCGTTTACATAATATGGCAGTATAACCTGTCAAAATCTTTTTAACTGATAATATACACGGCTGCAGAATTTCCTAAAAAATGGAAGTTTGCTGTTACCATTATATTGCGTATATAATAGTTTGTTTGCTATATAACATTCGGTTAAATCTGTAGACAACCGGTTTAATATAACCCTGACACATATCTTTATAATTCATATTGAATTTCATGTAATGACAAGTAGATTTGGATCAGGTAATTGCCTTTATTGCAAAATAAATGATAAATTTTAGAAAGGTTATACTTAACATACCAATGCATTAAAAGGATGCATTCATACGTGTGCATGTATTTTTAAGAATTAATTACAAAAATAAAATTTAGGAAAAAAAAAATCAATGGACTTATCATCTATAAATAAAAGCAAACCAATTCATCCAGATTTTAGAAATAGAAGGAAAAAAACTTATTTGAAACAGTGATGCTTGACGTTGTACCTTAGATTAAATAATTGTTAAAAAAAATGCACACTTAAGCTCCCGAAATGATCTTTTTCTCTCTAAAGAAAGAACAAACATGTATTTTACTATGTTTAAAAAATGGATTTAGAACAAGATGCTTATCACATGAAAAAAAAACCAATAGATAAAAAATAATAATAATAACGTTGAATGAGAAAAAATTTCTGTTAAAAATGTACAATGTAACCAAAATTGTGTTTGACTTCCATACAAAAATACCATGCTAATAACAAACCCTCAAAATAAGCAAAAAAGGCTTAGCTTTATGGCAAAGAAGTAACTTTTTGAAATCCGTAACAAGACAGGCGCAAAATATTTTTTTGTTGGCATATTTCTTTTTAGTTTTTGTTGGCCTATGGCATGAGTTTTATCAGCTACCTACGTGTATCTAATGATGTTTTAAGGAAAAACTTGAGCGCGTGCATTTCTTTTTAATGTCATTAGCTGTGTCATTTTTATATGTGTCAATATATGACACATATCTTACTTACTAAGATACTAGTTATAGTAGGTCATTATGGTGGCTGATTTGTGCCATTCGTGTTTTCGACCGAGACCCCCACAAGCTAAAAGTCGAGAATTAAGTTAAAATGGCGGGGTCGCGGAGCGAAAACACGCTTATAAGCGGGGGCGCACGACGAAGTTTAATAAATAAAACTTCGCCCCGCGAGGGCGCGGAGCGATAATAAGGAAATAAAACTTCGCCGCGTGCCCCCGCTTATTAGCGTGTTTTCGCCCCGCGACCCCGCCAAGCGAAAAGTCGAAAATTAACAAGTTAAAATGGCGGGGCGCGGGGCGAAAACACGAATGGCACAAATTAGCCACCATAGGTCATAGTTAAATAAAGTCGACATAATGGCAAGCGCGATTTAAAAACGAGTAAAAAATCACTTCTTAAAACCAAAAGTAGAAAATATAGCACTTTAATGACTTTGTCTTAGAGATATACATGTATAAATAATCTATGCAACATTTGCTATGGTTGCTAACTTGTTAGGTAATAGTTTAAAAATTTCTACAGATTTATTTGCAAGTATTTCAAACACAACAATAAACATATTACTAATATTTGTAACTATTCGTGTGTGTTTATATTGATTATTTATTTAAATTAATACAGAGATCTAGTTCCCATAAATAATTAATAATAGCAACGGAAATATTATCATGCAACAAATGTTTTAATAAGGTTCCTTAAACCAAAATGTATTTATCAACGTCTAAATAATCCGCCGGCTAAAGACTAATAGTTCCCAGGTTCCAGGTTCGATCTTTACCTATATATCTGAATTTGCAAGACTATGATCTGGCCACGGAGTAAGTTATGGCTTTACCTATATCTGAATTTGCAATACCATGGTCAGGCCAGGGAGTAAATTAATGCTCTACTTATATCTGAACTAGCAAGACTATGATCTGGCCAGGGAGTAACTCAATGCTTTACCTATATCTGAATTTGCAATACCATGGTCAGGCCAGGGAGTAAATTAATGCTCTACTTATATCTGAACTAGCAAGACCATGATCAGGCCAGCGAGTGACTCAATGCTTTACCTATATCTGAATTTGCAATACCATGGTTAGGCCAGGGAGTAAATTAATGCTCTACTTATATCTGAACTAGCAAGACCATGATCAGGCCAGCGAGTAACTCAATGCTTTACCTATATCTGAATTTGCAATACCATGGTCAGGCCAGGGAGTAAATTAATGCTCTACTGCAAAAAAGGGTTCAGGACACAGATGTGCTTCATTCAATTTTTATTTTATGATCTAAATGGTAAATTAATCATTGGTCCCAACACTTGGGAGGGAAGGATTGGAACTAAAAACTGTGTATAGTAGACTGGTTCCTTACAAGTGTATTTTTGAGAACATTGAAATCGTAATAACGAGTAAAACTAGGGGATCGGAACATGACAATATGTACACATCGACTTTGAAGGGCCACCAATGATGTATGCTTGTCCTCATTGGCTTTTTAAGCATGAGGAATTGAATGATAAAATTGCCATGCTTTTTCTTATGTTCATATCATTTATAAATAAATTTCGATTATGTAGGTACACTTGTCATGGAGGGTCCATGTACACATTGGTGCTAGCGAGCAAACGATAATTATGTACAATTTGATTCACGTCTTCATTCTTCAAGTGAAACCCCTTTACCAACTGCGCTAAGAAGGATGTTTGATTAACACCATTTTAACAATTTGATATTTACGCTTATATCGTTTTACAAGTAGATCGTAACGTTTTACGGAATATACCGACTACAGGAATCAAATGTTAAGAGTGCCAGGTCACTGTTGTTGGACAATACAGTCAATTTATTGAAATATATTGTCAAATACAGCCCAAATGGACAATGAGACAATGAGCATAATGTCATTTTTATTTATGAATTCATAACTTGATGAAAAAAGACAACAGTCTGAGACAACAAAGTAAAATGAATGTTCTGTGTATTTATTGACAACAAATACAAGTAAATGAAACAATTTTATGACACCACTAACAAGAAATACAGTTCTAAAATGATTGACTAACTTGTTTTGTGCTCTTTTAACATGTGTTCACATTTAAAGTAATTTCTAAAATGTCGCTAAGGAATGTCATTTATTTACAAGAATCCTCTTCCCAGAATCATACAGTGATGTACCCACATCCAAAAGTTTACACACGACCAAATTAATTTCCATATTTAAAGCAGCACAAATTGAAAAAAGGAAAGTCAAATTTGAGCAAAAAATGATTATGTGAGTTTATAGTTCAATGAAATGTTTACACATTCAAAATACAGGTGAAATATTGAAATGTTACATAATTTATTATTATATCAGTAAACGTTTATCTTGTAAAAATATAGAATGAGAAATGTCTGCATACACATACCAGTGTATTTTATTAATTTTATATATTTTTTTTTCTTCAACAAATGCCTTGAGTTAAATTAAATCACTAAATTCGTAGATTTTGCAACAGTCGGAAGCTCATTTGAACAGTTTTTAAAGAATTCATAAAAATAAACATAAATCTGGAGGCGTGCTGCTTTAAACCTTTTCCATCATTGACAAATCACTCAAATGGTATACTATTCTAGTCAGGAGATAATATGTATTTTATATTATCTGCCTTCGAATAAACGTAACGAGACTTTCCACTGCTTTTGTATTAAAGTCACACACGTATATGCCCCTGTCCGACTTGAACGCCATGTCATATATCCCGCCAGAGCCTCTCATCTCTTTCCCCGTCAGTACACGTTCACTGGCTTGGTTAGGTAAGGCATGCTCATCCTTGTGGTGAAAAACTACTACCGCCGTATTTGACGTTACTGAAATGATAATAATGTACATGTACATATATATCACTAAATAGGGATCAAACTTAGACATGAATGGAATATATATTCTCATAATTATAATCATTGACCTCACAAAGACAGAAACCCGACCACATATTGTTATGTCAATATTCAAATTAATGACCGGCTCTATTAAACGTATAAACCCCTATGTACATGAAATGGATATAATCAACAGAGAGTGAGAAAGAAGGAAAAGAAAAAAATATTCATATAAAAACAAAAATGCAACTTTGACACATTTACTTTGTTACATTTATAAAGTATATAAATTTGGAAATAATCACGTCGTGTTTCCCTCTTATATAAATGTATTTTATAATTAATGGGCTTAAAAACAAAGGCGTTTACAATGCAAGTACATGTATCACATGGTTTAGAGTAAAAAAACCTTTAGTTGATTACAATTAAAAAAAAAGAAATATTATATCTAAATATTCGTTCACATACGTGTAAGTCCATCCGTTGCATTAATGACGTCAGTGCCAAGTCGAGAAATCGTTACGCATATCAACACAAGCGGAATTTCAGGTTTGATGTCAGAAGGACGCGATATCTTGTAGATATTAAACTCTACCTTACTGTCAACTGCTTGAATTTCTGCTTTCATCAAATCTATAATTTGGCTTTCCAAACTTGAGGTCCATTGGGTCTTTTGTTGGCAGTACAGCTGGACTGGAGAACAAACAATAAAGTTTTTTAAATATATGATGTAAAAGGAATGACATACATTACATATACACAATTTTGAAATGACTCATCTAATGTCATTCAACATTTGCGCTATTGTCATGTATAAATGTTAAAAAGCTGCACAATCCAATGCTAGGGGTGTTGACAGTAGCTTGCACTAATCACTACTGTCATTGGTATTGTTCAATAAAATCGAGCTTGCGAATTTTCACTATGCCCGTGTTTGGCGTTCGTTATGGATTTGTTTTCTTCATACTGTATTTACTTACAACATATTTGTTAAAACGTATAAACATTCAAACAATTTATTCAATGATAAAACCAACACAATTGAAGTTGTAAACTTTAAGTTATTAAACTTATAAAGACTTAAAGAAGCATTATTTATATATCTTTCAGTAAATCAAAAATCACAAAGAAGCACAATTACCTGGTATATTCTTTATACTTTTAATTTCGGTAAGTTCAGCTGTCACTGCTTGGCATCTTTTTTCAAGTGTTTCGATTTCTACCTTCTGTTCGTCAAACTCGTTTTGCAACTGTTGCAAGCGTTGATCTTTCCGGATATTTTCTTCCTGTAAGTCATGTACAATGGTTTCAGATTCTTCCAGGTTTCTTGCCAATTTTTCAATTTTTTCAACATTTTCTTTGCTTTTTTTTCAAATTTCTTTTGTTGGCAAGATGCCAGTTCTTTTTTCGTTTCGTTGAAGCTTTTCAAGTAACTCATTTGCCTTTGTAATGAGCTTTTTTTGTTTTCTTCTGTCATTACTATTTTATCTAACTGATATGTTTCAATTACTTGATCTTTCTCTTTGTTTGACTTAGTCAGGTCGGAAATATTCTTCTCCTTTCCAACCAGCTTAGATTCGTACATGCTGCGTTGCGTTTCCATATCTTTCTTGCATGCTTCCATAGTTTTCTGCAAGTGCTTTTTCTGCTGACTTAGTTTTGCTAGACTTTCTTCCTTTACCTTTATATCTTGGTCCTTGGTTGTTATTGTTTCTTTTAATGATTCATTAGACGAGTTTACTTCCTCTGTTTCTTGCTGCAGCTTGCAGATAGACTTTTCCTGCTCTTTTAGTTTATTTTCATACTCTTGCCGTTGTGATTCCACATCCCTTGTAGCCGATTCAGTCTTTGACTTCAATTCTGCTAAATCATTTTCTTTTTTCTGCATACCTTGAGCAAGCAACTGGGCTTTTGTGTTAAGTTCTGTGAATTCTAAGTCTTTCCTGTTTATTTCTTCTTTTAGTTCTTTAATTTCCTCTTCAAGCTCATGCATACGTTTTTCTTTTTGCTGTTGTTTTTTGCTTTTATCTGAGCAATTATCTATCTGTTTCTGCAAAGATGTGTTCTCTTTCTCCATTTTCGTCATACTAAATGCTTGTTCCTTCAATTGTTTTGCTTGTGATTCTTTGCTATGTTTTAAATCATTGTTTAGTTTTTTTAATTTAGTGATCTCGTTTTGTACATGTTCATCCTTGTTTTTCAACTTATTGTTGCAGTCTTCTAATCGACCCTTTAATTCATTGAGTTCGGTCTGAAGAGCCATAATGTGGCTAGATTGTTCTGCATTTTTCGTCATCAAGGTGTCTTTTTCCGAGTGCAGCTGTTTAATTAAATCATTTTCGGTTAGCTGCACAGCATTCGGATCGGTTTCATAATCTTCTATTTTTAATGCAATCGATTTGACCGCGTCTGATTTGGAAAGCCTGTCAGCATTGTACATAACGAACTTTAGGAATGATCTAATAGAGCTTACCATTTCTTGTTTTTCATCGTAGACAATTCTCTGAAAAAAAGAAAACTTTTTTATCGATTTTGACCGCAGTTTGACATTAAAGCAGACGTCTCCAGATTAATGCTAATTTTCAAAATAAAATTGAAATTAAAGTAAAATATTGTGAGGTGAACAAAATATCATTAATTTTCATATTGCAAACAGCACTTACAACACATATAAATTACCAAAATGAGGTCCAAATATGCAAAACATATCGCAATTACTGCGTTAGTAACGCAGTAAAAATATGATGAAAAGTACTGCAAAATCGGCCATAAGCCGGTCATAACATGGTAGTCATTACTTTTATCTTGAATCGTTGAACTTTTCTTAAAATGTCAGTACTTTTTTCTCAAGTTACATTTTCTTGAAATATTCTGGTTTACTTTCGAGGTAACCGCCTTCGTGGTCGAGGGGTTAGAGTCGATGACTTCTAATCCAGTTACCTCTCTGGCGTGGGTTCGATCCCCGGGAGATGCTTTGGTAGTTTATTGCGGAGGAAGGTAGTCTAGTACTGGTGTAACTATGTGTAAACATTGTGTTTACAAATATCGTCTGTCAACTTTAACCTTTTCTAAACCTGAATTCTATTGTACTGTGATTGGTCAGCTGGTAGCACGCGCTTTCTACTGTGCCGTTAAATAAACTTCTGTAATTTACACAAAAATATGTCTGTATTGTCTGAACGATGCGCCTATATGACTGAAATACTGTTGGGAAAAGGCGTAAAATGAAACCAACAAACAAAAAACATTTCGAGGTGTGAAATATTATGAAGTGTGAAGTAACGCAACGCTTATAGGACGATCTCATAACAAACATACTAGAAAAAGGGTATTAAACAAATCAGTGCATTTCTAAATAAAGAAATGAAACATTACATATATTTATATAGTTATTTCACCTTGTCTCCATTATCAATATAATATCCCGTGTTAAAATTTTCATATAATTCTAATTCACCGACATATTCCAATAGCAAACTCATAATAATGTAATTCTTAAGACAAATTCTTCAGAGTTTTCAAAATGCGTTATGAAACTAAGCAAAATGACTCTATGAGAATTTATAAAAAATGTGAAAAAGTTAAGTTCTTTATAGCAAGTTTAAAATGCAGTAAATGCACTTTTTTCAACATATTTCTTATGACCCTCACAGTATACATGTACATAATACTTTAAGGTACATATACAACATCTGTAATAGACTGTGATTAAAGGAACTTAACCTTATATAAAATATCGAAAATAATTTGAAAAAAAATTCGAACGATAACATTTTAAGCACGTTAAAAAGAATTAAATAAAAAGAAGAAGAAGTAGTTGAAAGAAATATTGTTTGTTTGATTGGGTTTTACGTCACATCGACACAGTATAGGTCATATGGCGACGTTCCAGCTTTAATGGTGGAGGAATACCTCGGATGCCCTTCCGTACATTATTTCATGCACGAACCGGCACCTGAGTAGAACCACCGACGTTCCGTAAGCTAGCCGGATAGCTTTCTCACATGAAAGAATCCAAACTTCCTGTGGGGATTCGAACCCACAGCGGTGAGGGACAAGTGGTTTGAAATCAACGACCTTAACCACTCGGCCACGTGCGAAAGAAAGAAAGAAAGAATATGCCCTATTGGATTGCACATTTTATGATTAGTTGAATTCCATATTCTTTTAGTAGCCTAGAATCATTACTAGCGGAAAATGGTATCAAACTATTTTAAAGATCATTGTTTTACAACGTTGATACTATGCATGAAATGTTACCCCCGGTTTTCGTCCACTGACTAATAATGTTAATCGAAATATATGACATTACCTCAATGCTTATCAAAAGTCGTGCTGCAATGGTTTTACAATCTCTAGTGTTCTGACTTGCATCCCGAGGTCCATTGTTGCTTGCTTAAAAGTAAAACGGATCATACTTCAATATAATTTAAACATACCAAATGAAAATGAGCCGTGTCATGACAAAACCAAGCTCAAATAGTCAAAATACATAAAGTGTTTCTTAAATATGCCCCCAGTATACTTTATGGCTTGCTAACTCTAACCTATTTGTTCTTGTTTACCAAAAGTCAATGTTTTGGATCCTATGATATATATGTTTCAAACCCCCGACCTCCGTATAAGCCGTATAAGTCGTTCGTTATAGATGGGTAACACGTAATATTTAATATCACACTGACTCACTGGTGGCGGAAAACCTTGACGTCGCCCTGTGTATAAATGCGTGCATGAGGGGTCATTTGAGTAGAATCACCGACGTTAGTGATTAAGCTGTTTAATTCCTTCACAAGAAATAATCAACAGTCCCCTGGGCAAGCGTTGATGGACAAGTGGTTTGAATCCAGCAACCTTTACCACCCATACTCGGAAGCCTGCCACACGATTTCTAACTAGCTCGACAGGAAGTTGTCTTATAACATGCGAGACATTATCGGGGAATTACTATTTCACATTAACAAATCAGTGCTTTTTCACCTTGACTTTGTGTTTATCTAACGGATCAAAATTTATCAGTCGTTATCGCAAATGCTGGCAGTCAGGTATTTCGAAACGTTACAACTAGTACATCAACAAAGTCAAGAGTTTAACATCGTTTTCTTATACATGAATTCTTACCTGTACCTCCCGGGCTATCATTCAGCAATGTATACAACATATCAGCTGTCGCCCGCATGGCATCTAGGGACCTCAAATGTTTCACAACGCTTTCATCTAATTTACAAATGTTTTCCTGCATCAAGGTGAAAGAGAATTCATTTAACAGTTAATATTAGTCACAGGCGGTTTTGATTTGACAATAAATTGTACTCAATCATTTTTCAGATGAGAAAATGGGTGATTAATTTTTACTATTTATCATTTGATAGGAAAGATACTTGAATTTATAAAAAAAATGAAAATATTAATAACAGAATTGAAAAAAAAACATGACAAAGCTGCCGATATTTCATTAAAAACAAATATTCTTAATTTTGATAATTTCTTCCATTTTTTCTTTTTCTAACACTAGCACAAGTGTGTAAAAATGTTAATGTCTTTAAAATTTAATAATGCATGGATTGATAATTATCTTATTTATTTATCTTGAAATTTGGTCATTAGAATATTTAACATAATCATGTAAGAAAAAAATTAAACATTTAAAAATAATCATTTTTGTTGGGTCTTACATCGTATCAACACTGTAAAGGTCATATGGCGACTTTTCAGCTTTACTGGTGGATAAAGACCTTAGGTATGTATATATTCAATGCTAACCAATGATCCATCTGCCAGTTAGGGCACAAACAGCAACTTTTGCTGTCGAGCAAGAACGACGGACATGTCACCAGTCATGCCATTAAAGGGTATGGGCTATGGGCTCACGCAACGTAGCATATTTTTCCCCGATGTCCCTGTCACATTTTACGGCCATTCACCTCGGCTTTGGACACCTCAGTGTCCTTTCGTGCATTATGTTAGACGCGAACGGGCACCTTTGAGTAGAACCACCGACGTTACGTACTTTAGATGGATAGCTAGCTCACATGTGAGAATGAAAGAAACTTTGCAAGATTCAAGCCAACGACGATGAGGGGCTATAGTGGACTCGGCTACGGATACCATAATATTATTAAATATTAATACGAAATAAAAATCACGCACCTTACATACGTCATCAAGACTATCGGGATACTCAACTCGCTGTCTATAAAAAGCGCGGAGTAAAATATGTTAGTAGTGTAAATATGCTGCCCATGGTCATTTATGTATATTCCTATTTCCTGAAAGGTGAAAAAGAAACGTATAAAAGTAAAAAGTCACAAAATAAATACAAAAACAAAATGTTACACGTGTACATGAAAAACATTTTGAATGCAATTTTTATCTGTACAGTATGCTATAAGAATATGTATGTGCCAGATGAATCACCAACTTTCTGTCAGCTGGTTCGATAGCTCCCCAGACATTTAAACCCACAGCGGTTAAAAACGAGCCAATGGTTATAACCACTCGTTCAAGGAAGTCGCATATTACCTGTAAGTTATAGAGCAAGTCAATATACAAATGTACAGTCCAATCTGAGCTGGGATTACAACTTCTACTTTCCGTTTTATTAACAAAACAAGTCATTACTGATAACATTTGATCTGAGATAAGCGGGGTATTTATTTTGGATAGCAAGAAAAGAAGCTTGCTCTAAATTTTATACAGTATGGGGGATGCACCTCAAAAATGCATGTTTACTCTGGATTACGAGAGGTGCGCTTCGACCCGTTTGTAGAGCAATACACATATTAATGAGATTATTAGAAACGGCATGTCACAAGATTTGCTCGTTAGTCGCGGCCTGCACGGCCTTTATGAACCTACGCCATTGTCAGCTCTTATAAGAACGTTTTAAAGTGTTACCCCCCCCCCCCCACACACACACACACGCACCTACACAATCAATATATCAAAGTTTTACATAGACGAGAATGTCTCTCATGACTTTTTATAGCCAGCCGAAAAGAATGGACAGTATTCCTAAGACATGATATTGATCAAAGAAAGATGTAGCCTTGTATATTTTTTAGTTTCTAATAATACCTTGCAAAAAATTATCAAGTACGAGTTTTCAGTACCAGACTAAACAAAAGTTTATGCACAAAATCAATAAAACCTAGTAGTGTACTTTATTTGATTTTGCAAGAAAATGGGAAAATGGATAACTTAATATACTGGTAATTTTTGCAATAATTATTTGCAGTTTGGGTCAATAAAGAAATCTAGAGATACCTAAAGCGCAACACAACCACCCAACCTCCATATACACAGACAAACATCCCTAGCTTCTATTATTTCTGGTTTGCAATTTAAGAGAAACTATTGTGGTATACTTTAATATATTCTCAAACAAACAAAAAATGTCAGTGGCTGCAAAACAATGCACCACGTTATTCTATTAGTGATTATGCTAATGTTGATATTGACATAGGTGACTGACTGAAAAAAAAGAGAAAAAAAAGAAGAAAAACTCTCCAGTCGCATGAATTGAAATAGAAAGCAGGTCTAAGATTTAATTGATTCAAACTAAAAAGAAAATAAATGTTATATACAAGTAACTAAAACAAACCTGATTGCTGACAATCTTTCAAGGTATTGCTAACAAATCTTTAATATATTTAGATTATTTAATTAACACAGACATGTATATGACACGTTTATGGTAAGATAAATAACTCCGTCGGTATTTTTAAAACCGAAAGTGGAAATCCATTTATCTATAAATAGAATTCGCGAAAACCCCCATTTGACACACGGAGAAGAAACGGGGAGTTTTATTTACATGTATATGTTATCTAAAAGTGTACATAATATTGATTTAATCAGAAACGAAAGTAGAAGTTGACATAGGAAAGAAGCGGCCATATTTCTTGTAAGTAGATTTAAAATACTTTTTAATTCTAATTTATATAAAATGATTTAAATGTAATATGAAGACAATATTTAGATCAACATAATTATATAAATAAGTCTTGACGTTTTTGTTTTATTATTATTATTATTATTATTATTATTATTATAATCATTATTATTATTATTATTATTATTATTATTATTATTATTATTATTATTATTCACGTTTGTAACTTGAAGACTCTTAATGATTTTGGGGTGAATGGGTCAAAAGTCCCGGTCACATTGACCTTGTATAGTTTCCCATTAATTAATTAACAACCATTTGCGGTAAATATAACGATCCGCCCCACTGGCGATTCGCACTTTAATGACAAGCCCCACTTTAGTGACGATTCACGATTTGCATTAATTTGGTATACTTTTTAGATAACATTAATTGAATTTTGTATTTCAATGCAAACTGGAAAAAAAAACTTTTCTTTTTCGGTATGTTATATAAAAATATTTATCTAACTTGACCATTCTTGAAGGAAAATGATTAAGGACATTGTGTCATAATAATTATAAAAGTGGGGCGAATAGTTACCATTTTTCACATTGATAACACAGCACTATTTTGCACATTAACTTTATGTCATAACGGTTTTTAACAACAAAAAACTTAATATCCGATGGATCCTTGGCACTTAAACGTCACAGGTGCACTGGTCCTGGGCTGTAGAGGACACCTTTTTGTATGCCAAAAGCAACAATGCATGCAACTTCGGACATGCTGACGAGGGAGGTGAAGGGCGACACATGTTTTACAAGCATCTTTTGTTGTTTTAGTTTTAATAGGTACGTTAATTGAATCAAAGTTGCGTAGGCACGGTGCATATTCATATCGGTACCCTCTTTGCGAAATCTGCTGAAACGGTACCCTCTTTTTGCACATGCACAGGCCACTCTCTGCTAAAAACAAACCAGCGATGGATAACAATACAGTAAAAATTCAATATAATAAGGAAAGAAGGTATGACACGTAGAAAAGATGTATACCACGGAACACTAGAATGTTTTATCTATGTGCTGATTTGTCATGGTCCCGTTTTTCATGTACTACAAATTCACAATAAGCTACAAAAAATCGACATGTCTTGCTTCGCCCATCACCTCGACATATTTTTTGGGCTGAAATGTAACCTGTGGCTTGATTATATATGCATCATACATATTTAGTATGTTCATTTACATATCATCTTCGGACAAATGGCAGTACATTGTCAAAAATAATTGTAAAATTCATAAAAACACCCTACTTTCAGTTTTGCAGCGGCACGGGCTACCTCTCTTCATTTGAAATTTTATATCACAGGTACCCTCTCATTTTTTTACACATAGGTACCCTCAAGGCACGACATATGCTTTTATTTGCGTTAATCGTTAGGTATGTAATATTTCTTTATTTATGTAAATATTACATACTTAACGATTAACGCAAATAAAAGCATATGTCGTGCATTGAGTATATATACCTATGTGTTAAAAAAATTGATGTTTTTTCAATCAAATAAGCAACCTACTAGTATTTAATGATGTTCATGAAATGAACACATGTACGTGAGCGCATAAATTATACTTTTGTGTACTCCCATTAACCTTTACATTTCTATCCGTGTCAACAGTTTATGCAACCACCTAAAATCATACACGTATTTTACTTACTAAGATACCAGTTCACAAGTCATCCTAGGTCCATGAAAACCTTGGCATAATATTAATTTCCCCTTTAAATCGAAAGTAGAACAGTTTTATTGTTTATTGAATGAGACTGATTTTTTTTTGTTATGGACTTGATTATTTTAGTATGAGCCTGCGGCGATTATCTATTACTATTTTATTCAATGGTTTTAATGAATTTAGCTAAAAAAATGTATACGAATGTAATACTCTATTTATCACATAACTTAAACAAGACGGTCAATTCAAAATATGTTTTCATTGAGGTGTTGAGACTGTAGTAGTTGAGACTTGGTGTATTTTTAAAGATTTTCCACATGTGGTCCCTCAATTGTAATTTTGCTAACAATTCTGACATTGTCAGGGCTGTTTATAGAAAAGCAAAGCTGAACTTGATAATTTAAAATTCACAGAGTAATATACAGAGAAAACTTAGATCTAATTCAATTCATTCAAAACCATTCGCAAAATATCGTCTCTAAATTTTTTGTTTCATTTTTACAGTCTGAAAATTACACTTCATTACATATACATAACTGTTCTTTGTGACATTTGGACATACTTAAGTATCCCACGAGCAATAACTGCCTAATGCAATATGAAAAGCAACCCAGCGTTCGTAAGACAGCCATTCAACAAGTCAAAGTTTTCCAAGTTCCTAGTCGCTTTTTGAATGTTTACACATCTGTCAACAATAATTTATTGTCTGTAACAATCCTAAAATGTGTTTTCTTTCTTATAAAAAGATATGTATGACTAACAAATCCAAATGAAATCCCTCTGAATTAAACTTTCAAAATGCGCATGGTCTAATATAAACTTCCACCGAAAATAACGGAAATAATGTCGGCATGGTGTGACTATTCTACTAGAATTGTTTGTTTTTATTATTAAACCAAGCGACCATTCATATTTTTTGATGAAGATAAACGATATTATCACCATTTAGCATTGATTGTTGAACTTATTTATTTTAGCTCAAAACTTCATGTATTTATGAGAAATGCGTCTGAAATTGAGTGCTACCGATTTTGATATTCCAGTTAATATTGGGGAAATTTCATTTAAAATGATATTTTAGCCTTAAATAAACAAGTGACAGAAATTTTGCTTGTTTATTGTATAAGATGCTATTTCATTTCATTTCGCGAGAAAACTGTTTTTAAAGTAAACTTTCATCTCATATATCCGCTGTATACATAACTAATATACTAATATGCTTGCGTCTGGTGGTTTCATGCTCATTCTATACATGTATATGCAGTTCCAAGACCATGAATTTAAAATATGAAAATATAAAAACTATGATACATGTTTAACAATAACACATTCTGTCATGAAATATCTAAATTATTTTCATTGACACACACACATAAATTATGCCGTATGATTTTCTATGTTTTCTATTACTTAAAACATTTTCAAATAATGAAATAAAACGTACAAAAGATGCAATAATGATATAAACACGGACATCTTATTTGCAGCACCAGACCTGAGATTTAGAACAAAGATGAAATTTTGCTGCTGTTTTTCAACAACGCAGTTGAGGCAAGATATGGTAACTCATTTGCTTTGTCCATGCATGATCCTATTATATGTATATTCAAATATAGTTATTATTTTGTTCATATAAGCAGACTTATATAATATAAAATTGTGTTATTATTTTCAATTTTAGTTTCTGAAACATTTTGAATTGACAAACAAGTACGAAAAAAAAAAGTTTTATTGGTAATATTTCGCCTTTTTGTGTAACTGGAATATACAGTAAAACTTACTGAAAGCCTTACTAATACTCTATAAACTATTATAATTCTAAAAAGAATTAATCGTTATATAAATTGGTAATAAGGTATTAGGTTTATAGTTTAACGATACTTCATATTCAGTAATAAATATAATAAGATTAAATTCTAGTATAATAATTGTAAAATATGTATACACACAGTGTTTTTTTTTCAACAAAATATTCGGCGAAATTCTCCCCATTCCCACCCCCCTCAAAATAGTATGTTTTTCCCCCCTCAAAGCTGAAATTTCCGCCTATAATATGGCAGCCCAAATCTGCCTGCAATGAATATCATTTTTTTGCAACTAACTGCCGAAAAATGCTTTATTTTATGCCTGTTAGACTTACTGTTAAGCAAGGTTTTTCATATAGGTAAGGGGAGCTACTCCTGGTGTCCCAACAAGTTTATCATGTGACACATCAATATAATTTTAGATCCGTATAAAAATCCCCCTCCTATTGCATTTTTTCCCCTCCAATGGGCACCGACCCCCTTCCCCCAAAAGTGAAAAAAAACACACATGCAAATGTATATTATATTGTATATAATACTTGGATCATGCTCTCTTTTATTTTTGATTTAGGACAAAGTAGACGAATCTACTACAGAGTTCGCAAAACATTTTGACACACACACAGCAGAAATAAGAACAGTTTTTCAGGAATTACTTAGTTTATTCCAAGAATCACTTAATGATGGTATGTAGCTGTCATTTATTTCGCATCATGTATATAGTTTAGGTTGGTATCGCGTGAGTTGTTATTGTTTCTAAAAGGACAGGTTATCTATAGGAAAGTGTTCATTATTTAACATTTTTCGAATTAAATTTCTTAAGACTTGCTATTGTCGTTTCGTCCAATTTCATTTCATAAATACTTGGTACTGAATACTAACCAAATCTAGTCTTTGAAATTATTTTTCTAAACGTCATAATTACCTATTTAGTAAAATCGCTCACAGATTCAAATGTTCTGATTTACCAAAGTAAACGTCTAACGACTCACTTGAAATATTGCAATCCTATTGGACAATAATACTTAAAAAAAAAAACATTTAATAGTGGACGTTGGCAAATACATCAACGTAAAAATAGGTGCACGCGATGTTGTCACTAACACATTATTGATAAAAACTGTATGTCTTTCCGGATATTAAACAGATTTCCGGATAATGAACAGATTTACGGGTAATAAACAGATTTGCGCGAAATGAACATAATCATTCTCTAAATTGTGTTAAAGTACTTTCGTAATGTTACAAAATAAATACCAAAACTATTTATCTTGTTTAAACAGGTGCCGATGATAAAGAACATCTTTATTACAGAGAAAAGATTGAGACGCTTTGTCTTCGTTATGTGAAATCAGAAACGGTATTATTAATTTACTTTAAAATCCACTTTGAAGAGAAATTATGGGAAGTAGGCCTTTCTTAGAAATATCAAATCCAGTTTTGAAATACACCTTTAGTCTCGCACGGCAAACTGTCAACGGCATTTCAGAGGTTTTTCCCAGAATTATATTTAAACACTGGTTGTACTGTGTAGTAGGACTGTCATAGGACTGTGACTTATGGTGATCGTACGTTTATGACGGCAGCCCCTAAACTCTGGAATGCCCTACCTAGAACACTTAAAAGCTGTGAAAGCCAGGGTTTTAGAGAGCACTTAAAACTCACTTATTTAAGAGGTTTTATTTGGACTGATTTTTTTTATACCAGTGTCGTTTTTTAAGAAATTCTTAAGTCTTAACTGTATTCTATTTTTATGTGTGTTTTTTTAAACTTTTTGAACTACATTTGAATTGAATTTGTGACTTGAGCAATATAATATTGATGTTTTAATTTCTTTTTGAATATTGTATCATTCATTTTGTTATAATGTACAGTACTTTTGAACGTGTTAATGAGCATGAAAAGAGTGCTTAAGAAGTTTGGTATATAATAATAAAAATAATAATAAAAAAATCCTATTTAATAAGGGCTAACATGTATTAATGTAAGGCTTAAGATGTTAAAAAAGGTCTAATTATTGAGTGTCCTTTCTTCTAAGCTTGACTTTTTTTGATATTGTATTGTAACAGTCATGTCTTGTCCGCAAACTTAACTTTATACATGTTATAAGTTCTTGGTGTATTATCTATAACTTGGTCACAACAATTTTTGGAGCAAGACCTTCCAGTAGACCAGACTAAAGTTGACCTACAGTCATAAACGACCTTGACCTTTAAGCTCGAATGTCTAAATTTTTTTTTGCTGAAATTTGCTATATATGCTATAACTTTTATTTTTGAATGGATTGTCATCAAACTTATCCATAATAATCTTTAAGCTTTAACCAAACAGACATTGACCTTCAGTCATAGATAAACTTGACCTTGAAGATGAAAGTATTGAAATTTTCATTTTTTTATTTGCTGGATATAACTTTGTTCTTGATGAATAGATTGATTTCATATTATAACACAACATTGTTTTAGGATCATTACACTTTGATGTATATCAAGCTCTAATTGACATTGACTCTACTATGACCTTGACCTAGAAAAAAAGGTAATATTATTGAATTGTTACGAATTTTTGCTGTAATTGACTGAAGAATGAATTATCTTCATACTTCCAAAGTGAAGATCTTCTAAATGGTTAAACTGACCTTGGGCTTTAAATGACATTGACAGTCAATTTCAATGCCAAATTATTTAAATTTGTTTAAATTGTCTTTACTTGCTACTAAACAAACATATTGAATAATTGAAATGTGACCAGGACCTGAAATTGACCCTGATTGCCAATGTCCAAATAAAATTCTCTTGTTTTTTATTCTTATTCTGGCTATAACTTTGCTGTTTATAATTGGATGCACTTCATACATGTATTTATTTTTATTATCTTTTTGGTCAGGATCTTCATGTATATCAAACTCAATTTGACATTGAATCATGTATGACATTGACTTTGAAGTTCAAATTATTTATTTTTCACTTATTATCACTATAGTTGGCTGTAACTTTGAAATAAATCAATGGAATTTATAAATTGATTTTCACTTGGAAAAAAAACAACCTTTTGGACAAGACCTTCTAAAAGGTTGAACTGACCTTGATTTTTTGCTTTAAATGACCTAAAACAGCAAGGACAAAGATTTGAATTTTGGTCGTGTTATATATGTACGGATTTGATTCATATGTGGACAGACTAAACAGACATATGGAATAATTTTGATTTGACATTGACGTTAATGACCTTGACGGTCAAATTATTAAATTTTGATTTTGCTTTCTTAACTTTGTCATTTATTATTGGAAATGACTCCTACTTGCACAAAACAACAAGTGTAACTAGACAGACCTATTAAAAATATAAAATGAAAACTTATATTTTGTTTTCTTTAATGTTCTTTTAAAAGATTTGTTTAAACCGTTTTTTGTTATTGTTTTTTTTGCTTTTAGAAAAAACGAAAAAAAGTCGAATCCAGCAGTGGCTCTTGTTACTTTAAGTAATGGAAGGTAAACAAAATGTTTGGCAAGGTTTTTTTTTATGCGGGGGATATGGTTGAGAGTGGTTTATAAAATGTCTCATTTAATTTACAGAGAGTATTTTTGTTGACAGGATTTAGATGCACTACAAAATGCCGCATTACTGTTTACTGAAAGACTTCTACAACATTTTCCAAGTAAGAGGAAAAAAACAGATGGTTCATACGAAACAAGATTGCTAGAAAATTATCTAAAAGTAAACAAAACAGAACTTCCAGTCTTAAGTGTCATTACAAAAAGCGATGTAAACACCCAGAGGAACAAGGATAGAGATTTGGAAAAGAAAGTTGTAAGTAATAAAAATGACACAATAGCCCTCGACAGCAAAATAAATGAGTCAACGAAAGAAAATCAGAAACTTAAACCATCTGTTAGTTCTGAGGTTGCAGACAATAAGAAGCGTAAAGGTCCAGGGAGGACAGAATTGAGAGAAGATGAATTACCGTCTTTAAAGAAACCACTCTTGACGGAAGAGGAGAGGATGGTCAAACGACAAGACAGTACCAGTTCTAAGCGGAAACTAGGTGACATTGATGGTACACAAAAAGAATATGTATCATATTATGGTACACAAAACAGCAACAATGACAACAAAGTAAAAACTAAAAACAGTGAACTTAATGAGAAGTTACAAAAGAGCGAAGAAGATAAAGACACCTGGAAAAAAAGGACACTGCAAGAAAGAAGCAAAAATGAACAAATAATACAAGAGAAAGCTGCAATAGAAAAGGAAATGAATGAAATTAGTCGTAAACTAAAAGTTAAAATTGATGAAGAAAAACAATTGAAAGACAGTTTGGAATCCAGAAGTGCAATGATAAATGAAGAACAATGCATTTCCAAAAAACTTAAGGAGGAAAAAGAAGCTTTAATGAGAGAAAAAGATAAATTTCAGGAATTGTTGAATGAGAAACACGCTGAAATAGATGATTATGAAAGTAGACTTGAAGAACTTTCAAACCTTTCTAGTAAGATAGAGCATGATGCATCCGAGACAGAAAAGAAATTAAAAAAGAAAATTTACGGCTTGGAACAAGACCTTAAAAAAGAAACGGAACAGAACAAGCAACTTAAATCACAAGTCAAAGTACTGTCAGAAAAGATTACAAATCTTGAAACAGAAATTCGAAATGAACAGGAGAAAAATGCAAACAAAGAAACAAAAATTGAAACTGCAGCACTTCAACTGAAGGACGTAACCAAGAACTATGAGGAATTGAAGTTAAAGCTTGTACAAGCTGAAGAAAATACAAGGTCAGAGTTGGAAAAATCCAATGCGAAAATTGCAGATCTTATACAAGATAAAACGTCACTGGCGAAGCAGCTGACAGGTCTGAAAGACAACATGCAGGACCTACAAACTACCCTTACAACACAAAAGACAACATACGAAGCAAAGATTTCAGATCTGATGCACAATATGGAACAATTACAAGAAAAGAAATTGGAGGCAGAGAAAACGCTTGCTGCTCTTGAAGAAGGCCACAGGGAACTTCAACAGTTGTATGAGACTGCAAAGGAAGAACTTGATCAATTTAAGCGTATTAAGACAATACAAAGTAAGTACAATATCGTATGTTTGTGTATCGTAACAAAGGGAATTGCAAAATAATTATTAATTCACACATCATTTTACCATCAACTACAACTGCAGTAAGTAAGTGATATGTTTGTAATTAGTTTAAAATAATTAAATGGATTAAAAGATATAAATACTACAGTACATGCTACCATTCCTTGTGTCTTTCAAAAGGAGTTATTACAAATAGTGCGTCTGTCATTTATCACACTCGTATATAAGTTAATTGATTAAAAATTTCCAATAAAAAGTACACATTTCGTCAATGCAGCATTTGCTCTCATGGTAGTTTCTTTAATTTAGTGAACACTGTTGTATTTTTCTGTTTATTAATGATACTAAAATTGTTCCGTCAGTCAAAGGCATTTCTAATATAGGCCTTTACATGTCAAGCGACTAAAGTATACGATAGTCTTTACTTTTTGAAATGAATACGGAAATAACTGACGTGTAAAGTTTTATCACTGTTTTTTAATAGGTGTTTAAATGCTTTGTTTTCAGTTCAACTGTATTACAACAGCAGATCCTCTTTGATTTCGAAAGTGGAAAATGAGCTCAAATCATTGCTGAAAAGAGAGATAGAAAGTAATACGACGCAATTAGAGTTCTTTAACCGTGAAAAGGTCAATGATATTGACCCAAGTGAACCACTACTTATTATTTGTATATGTGCTTCAAGACTTGGTACGGATGCAGCAAATGCAGTACAGTCTTTGAAATGTAAGTAAAGTTTACTTAATATAGTCAAGTGCATTCGGATCGTTGGTTATTGCAGTAATTGCAGACACGTCGTCTCATCATGAGATTAGTAATTTAAGTGTCAACCTTATGGCTGTTTCTTTGAAGTAAGAGAACTTTCAAGTGGCATCTGATAAACAAAATTTTGAAAAATCAACTAATTATTTTCTGACAGCCATTTACGTATCATTTTGATTGCACAAGAAAATGTTTTTACTTAACTTCAGAAAGCTTGTTTAGTTTATTCGTTCAAATTCATTTTAGTTTGATAGACTAATTTAACATTTTGTATTGGACTTGCTTGTTGAACGGGGAATATTCATTATCAATTATTTTTTCAATGACATTCAATACGATTTTTCTATCTAAATAAAGTTTTGAAATTTAATTTGTTATATTAATTGTAGAATATAACGAATTCAAACAAAAAATGATCAAGAGATTTTACAGTTGTTTTATCTACTTTCTTACGACTTACATTGATTATATTTTGTTTCAGTAACATCAAATATGGCATTGCTAGTGTTTCACCACAAGGACGACATGCATACTGCCAAACCAGCCAGTGAGCATGTACTGAACTGGAACGAGTATAAACGTTTAGGCGCATTTTTTGACTTTGGTTTTCTTCAGGCAAAAAGAATATATTCGTGTGAAATGAATGATCAGAACTTCAGGAAATATTTTGCACTTCATACGTAAAGAACATTAAACATTTGATACCTTTGCCAGTTGAATTATTTCGTCAGTTCTTTTCATTTTACTTCAGCAGCTATTTATAGCCACAAAAACAAATGTATATAAGTGCGAGGAATTGAATGGCACTGTACGTCGCCCATTAATGATTTGAACATATAAATACGCAAGCTTTCTGCTTGCCTGCGCGTAAATAAGACAGTATATTTGTAACCAGGTTCAATAAAAACAAAAAATAATGTCTCTATATATTATATAGTCTTAATTCATCACATATCCAGACATAAGAAAGATCTGGTACCTTCTAACTATGTTTCACCGGGCGGATAGCTAGGTGCGATCCGGCACTAAAGAAAAACATCTGTCCTAACCCAAGGAATTTTAAAAGATGCCTATTCTGTATTGTTTATTTCAAAGGGGATTTGAAAATCAAAAGTGACAAAAGTGACCTAGCGAAATCAAATATTTAAAAAATTTGGAGTGTGATTCAATACCAGTTAAGTCGCGGCCTTTGAATGAAATTATATTATGCGAGCCTCTGGCGAGCAAAACATTATTTTATTCAACGCGTTCAATAAATCAAGTAATGCAAAGCCATACAAGAACTGTTAACAGATAAACTATATTATCTGCTAATATTTAGATCGCCTCAACGCTATATTTGTATGACTCAAAAGACGTCACGTCAAATCATATGCACGACTACGGAGTCGCAAAAGCGGCACGGGTACACAAATGTGATAATAACAAAGAGTATGTAAGACTTCACAGATGTGCAGACTCTATACCAGCGGTTTTTACATCTACTTTGATAGTAATGTATTATTGCTTTAAATGCATTCGCATTTATGTGACAGCTAAATATCGTTTTACATGTATATATAATTATTTAATATTTATCATATTTAGTTGTTGATATTTTTAGTCTTTACATATACTTGTAGAAATAAAATCATTTAAAAACAAATGTGTTATGTTACTTTCTTTATTTATATTCAGTAAAATCGAACCTTGAAACGTTAGATTGAACTATTTTTTCCAAAGCATGTCTTTTAATTCATTTACTCTGCGGATGTTCCCAAATTTTGACATGAGTACACGAAGCCGGTGCACTGGAAGCACATCGTGTAAGTGACCGGTGATGTTGTTATTTCCTTCCCATCACGGTAATTAGTTTAATACTTTAGGGTCCAATATACTGTGCTTTATTTTCATAATTATTTCAACATATCACTACATTGAAATTTGAAGTTCGAGGAATGAAAATATATCTCACAAGCAAAATGTATCGTACTAAAATGATTAGCAGTGTTCTTATTATATACTCGCATTTTGTAAAGTTTCGGCCGATGAAAAAGCACCGCTCAGCCAGTCACAAATGACCCGCTTAAACTTATATATTATACTAAACTCTTATCAGTATTATAACTTCTGTTGTCTATAATCTTGCTCTTAAAATGCTTCAAGGATCAAACTCTAACCAGAACATTTCAATATTTTTACTATATTACAAAACAAGTAGAAAAGTTATTTATCAACAAATATACAAATCCCCTTGGAAAATGGAAAACCCACTGCTCACCAAGCCCGTTTGCGTAAAATGATAAATCGAAAGTAAACATTATAATACCGTTTATGTATGGCAGGATTCCAAAACCGGTACCACCTATTATATTGAGGTTCTTACCACTTAAAGATATCCTTTGATCATGCCGCATAACTAGTAAACCACTTACATTATAAAGCAAATATATTCATGTGAGTTATCCAAAAAGTAAAAGCGCGTAATAGCAACTCTCTAATGAGGAGCACAGAGCTGCTGCAGTTGACTACCCTTTTTATTTGATCAAAGTTATCTTATGCAACTGGAGGGCACCGCAAATAATGCCTAAATCATACACTTTTTGGGCTTTTCAGATAGCATTCTGTATCATACTATGATTTTAGTGAGTGTGTATATAAATCGACTGTTAAAGAATAAGTATATCATTTTTAGTTGGGACGTAGTCCCAACTAGTGCACTTACAAACCCGAAATTTCCAACCATACAGGGTAACGCCCACTGCTGTGACGTTTCATCGCCACTCTATATGCTATATTGTATTTCATAACATATCAACCCGAAGCTGAATTCACTTAGTCGATCACCCGACCATGACCCACGCCATAACCGCCGCCGAGTGAAAAATAGGCTCTGAAATCTCTGAAAACTTCGATTATTGCCGAAAACAGCAAGAGCGCAAAAGACAAGAAATATTATTTGTTTGAAACATAAGTCAATTGAGCTGAATTAACCCCGGTATTAGAACGTACGGATTACAATTTTGGAAAGGTCACAGTAATTCTATGAATGGATAGTAAAAAATTAATTTGCGCGTCATAGTGATGTCTCGTGACGCCTCAATCTTATCTTAACTTACTCATCCCGCCTGCCCTACTCCAAGCACAATTTTTTTGTATTATATTCCAGAAATCTTTATATAGCCACAAATCCTATTCCATCGGAAAATTTTGTAGTTTATAAATTGCAAAGTGGATATTGAAATAGAAATTAGCCAGCAGATGTAGATCAATCTATTCGTCTCTATATTAGCCCCGCATAATATATCAGGTCTAATTAACACATCTAGCAATCACGACAACCTTCCTCGCGCGTCTCCCCTATATCTTTTTTACCTACTTCACCGAGCATAATTAGTCAGCCCTGTTAAGCTCATAAGGTGAAGTTATAAAGCAAAATATGTTATTGAATTTGATGAATAAAAATCATTAAAGTACTATTTATTGATGCCAATTGTTCCGAGGACAAAAACTTGGCATCGTAAAATAATTCGAAGTAATTTGGAGAGTCTCGAGTCTTTCGTACCCAGACATTCTCATCACTACGTTAAGACTGCAAATCCGACAGATTTTACAAATTGATTATTACACAGATGTCTTGCCTTTATAGCAACACAACCCGAAACCGGCAGATTGATGTCTACAATTTTTTGGTTCTTGTCACGGCCGTTACGTCTCTACCAAATGGCACAGGTAACGTTGCGTGGCCATTGACTTACACTATACCCCCGTTCCCCCTCTATAACAACCCAAAACCCTAAAAAAAAAATATGAAAAAAAAAAAAAAACCATTTTTTATTGACTATAATATTTTAGTCATAAAATTTGTTTTTTTTCATAAGTTTTTTTTAGGTTTTGGGTTGTAGAGGGGGACGGGGGTTATAGTGTAAGTCATGGCCACGCAACGTTTTACCTGTGCCAAATGGGCACATTCTTGAATATTTCAAGAATAATTTTATTTTTGACCTTTATTAAAATTATTATATCTATATTCTTATTTAAAGTCTAGGCCATTTCATTTTGGGCTCATCTTTTTACAATTTGAATAATTATCTGGAAAAACAAAGTGCGCAAATGATCTAAAGGTTTGTAACAAAGATTAGTGTTCTAAACATTCATTCAAATAGGGTACATTTATCTGGAAAATATATTTCAGTTCCATCATGACAACAATACCTCAATTTGGAACCCTGTTAAATTGAATTACACTTTTTTTAAATGTATGGGTAAATTCCATTTCAGTGGTTTTGAAATTTTCCTCTTTTCTCATTTAATCAAAGCTATAGTTTCCCATTTTATAAAGCCACAGGTTGTTTGAAAGTTGAAAAAAAATCACTGCCACCTTGATAATTGTTAACCTGAAAAATCTTCAGGCACTTAAAGGGATTTTGAACCCAGACCTCTTGATTACAAGGCAGACACACAACCATGTCGCGAAAATGTCACCACAAACAGCAAGACTGTTGGAAATGATCTATTACCTTTCTCTCAATACACAGGGTTGAAGTAATTTATACAGTGTTTAAATTAGACATTTATATATGATTTAACAAATTTTTGACACTACTGGATATTACATTTTTTTCACAAATCTACATGTCCTAAAAAATAAAGATCATAATAAAATGATTAGAACAAATTTCTATTTTAGTGGGTAAAACTGAGGAAGATAATATGAAGAAATATTTATCATATTTTAATTATCATAAATTTTTCAAATTTAATTATGTCATATACATGCTGTACCACCAATTCAATAATATATTGTAGTGTAAACAGTATAATAAACATGTATAACACATATATACATGTTATTATTACCACACACTTAAGTAGTATAGATGAATTTGAAAGGAAATTCTACTAAATTATTATTTCAGGGAAATTCTTTAAAAAAAAAGATCCCCAAATTTTTAACCCGTTTTAATATTTTCCCCCCCAACTTTTGGTGAAAAAAAGGGGGGGGGGCGGGGGGGGGGGGGCTGTTTTTTTAAAAACCATGTAGCTGAAAAAGTACAGTTTAAGATTAAAACAAAGAACTAGAAGATTATTACAAACAGACAGGTACTTATATAATATTTAATGTATATTTCACAAAACCAACTGTTTTCCAAAAAAAAATTAATGGAAAATCAATATTTGACCTAGAGTCATAAGATTGACAGCAACAGTGGCGTGTGGGCATCCGTGTCCTATTGGACACATTTCTAGTTTCACTTATTATACTATGTAGAAATTTTGTGAACGCAAACTCCTCTTAAACCGGATGGCAGATTTTGCTTAAACTTACAGTGGATGAACACCTTCAGTGTAGATGGTAGTAAAGTGAAGAATTTTTGCTGCGACCAAATTTTACAGAATTATGGCCCTTTGTTGATTTTTTTTTTCACGATAATTACGTATGTAGAAATTTTGTGAATGCAACTCCTCTTAAACCGGATGGCAGATTTTGCTTAAACTTCCAGGGATGAACAACCTTAATGTGTAGATCGTAGTAAAGAAAGAAATTTTATGCTGCAAACCAAATTT